TAATAATGTCTTGTAGATCTCTGTTATTAATATTTTGGAAATCTTCCCAGTCTGCTGCATATGTTCTATAATGTTATACCGACCATCCATATACATACAACTTTACATACACAGGACTATTGCTGTAGATTAGAGTCCTAGAAGAACAGTTCTTAGGTCCAAGGATCTTTCTTTAACTCTTCATCAGATTTTCTTTTTGAAGATCCTTTGTGGCTTGATAATTATTTTTCTAGCAAATTTATTATTCAGGTTTAGAAGTTCAGGGAGCTATGTGAAATAACACTCAAATAAATTTCCTGGCTATGGATTTGTTCCCGTTAGCGAGCGAGTTGTAAAGTATGGGTTTTATAACCTTAATGGCTTTTTTTTAAGGCAATTGATCTCTTAATCTAGGTTTGTAGGCTAGCATATAGAAGATGTAATCTGTAATCTATGTGACAAATGGGGGAGTTTTGGGAGTTAGGATAAGAGCGTTGAAGAATGTCTTATAATAATGTTTTATAGTGGAGAAACTTGGCAGATGCCACCTCACCAGTTGACCAGGGTTAACATCACATGATAATCATGTTGCTACCATGCAGTGATATTAATATAATAAAGTGAGATGGGTGCATTGCCTCTGTTACATTGTTCCCCCAAACCTGTAACCACAGTCTAATAATGAAAATATAACAGAGAAGCCCAATTTGAGGGACATTCTACAAAATACCTGACCATGTTCTTTAAAAGTGCCAGAGTAATTCAAGAGAAATCTAAGTAATTCTCACAGGTTGTAGTACACCAAGGAGACAGTGAAAACTAAATGCAAATAAAGTGGTTTTTGGTTTTTTAAAGTATGTTTATCCTTATGGACAATATGCTCCCAAAAAGATCTACCCTAGAAAACTGTGTCTTCCCTCTTTGATATAAGAGATCCTTGTTCCAACAGGTGGACTCCATTGAGATCTCCAGGGCTAGAGACCCAGTGTATGTATGGATGAGACAGTATAACCAGACTGTAAGCAGGATCGTATAAAGATGTGATCTGAGGTCATGGACGCTGTAGCAAGAGGTCAGGCCCGAAGAATCAGAGAACTGAGTGGACTTTGAAATGGATAGCCAAAGAGAGAATCCAAACTTAAAATGCAAAAGAATAAAATATAACAGCCAATAACAGACTTGCAAATAGTAGCCAAAAGTCACCCTAACTGATCATAGGACATATCTACCACTCAAAAGCATGACTTAGTGCATAACCGTTGAAATGTCAGAAAAGACAGATAAAGGAAAGTTAAGCCATAGGGGCAACCTCTGCAGTTGGAACGAGGAAGCCATATGCAGTCAACAGTGAGGCCAGTTGAGAATATTTGAGGTTAGCATATATCTAGAGATTCCTATAGGAGATGCAACCCAGCAAGCCTAGGTCAGCAACCCAAGGTCAGAGTACACAATGGGTTAGTATTAAAAAGTGGCTAAACAGATGATCAGTCCTCAAGAAGGACAGTATTTAAATCAGATACCTCTCCTCCCCCATGCTAACTAACATACTGTAATTCATTATAGCTGTGTCTAAGATAACTATTTATAAATCAGCCCTACTAGTTCTTCTTGTTATTGTAATTTCTAATCAAAGAGCCTCTAGAGTTAATAAATGAGAGGACCAGCTTATTACAATTTCGGTTTCAATTCCCTGTTATGCAACTGGTACCCAAATAAGGACTGTTTGTCCAAATATGAGTTGGCTAAGTCAGTCAAAAACAAGCAGAAAGTTTCAGTTTTTGTTGCTATTATCCAAGATGTTAGCAGATGAAGTGTTTAATGAAAAGTGTTTCTTTTAGGCAAACTTCTTTTTACCGTGATTTGTTTAACTTATACCAGCGGTCTGCACATTTTTTCCTGTACAGGACCATATAATCATTAATAGTATTTTTAGCCTTGTAGCCACATATGATCTCTACGTATTTGTCATTGCCTTTTTGTTTTTTTAAACAAATGTTTAAAAATGTAAGTGTTCTCTGTGTCCTTCACCATGCTTCCATGCTTTGTGGTAGTGGCTGAAGTTTAGAGACTTGTTTTAAACAATGTTCTGACATGTTGATCTATTGCCTCTGGCAGAAGATGTGTAATGAATCATGACTTTGATGAACTTATTTTAAAAGTAGATGCACAGTTGATCTCTTATTCCAGGCATTTTGGCACATTCATGGGAGATAGTCTCTATCAACATGACAGTTGTAAAACCTACTATACCCTGAAAGTTTGCTGTCTAGAAATTAAGTGCTTTGTTTTCATTCAAATTAATATTTAGATAAGACATGTTTTATTTCTAATTAGACGTCAAACTTTTTAAATATTTTAAAGTGTAATAGTGATTACCTTTTTAAAAGACTCAATGTAACTCGTTTCTTATTTAACCCATTAACTGCCCCCTTTTTGTGGTATTGTTGCTGCTTTCTCTTATGAATTGATGCTAAAGCTACATTCTTGATGTCTCAGGGTCTCAATTTATGATTACATTAGTTCCTTGCTTTAGTTTGTAGTTGAACTGTGGCTCTGCACTGTTTGAGACTGTACAGCCATCCTTCACTAGACCCCAGCAGGTGGCCTTTAAGCCATTCTTAGTATCATTGTGAAAAAGCATCCAGTTTTTCCCCCTAAAAGGCCAAGTGGTTGTATGACATGCTGTGGATTTTAGGGATGTACTTTGCCTATTTCACATACTTTTTCTAAGAAGGTAGATAAGCTTACACATTTAAAGGTTTGAACTGTATTTCTTCTGTTTATAATTTTATTTTATTTATATTGAGATGGTGTCTCGCTCTATCACTCAGTTTGGAGTGCAGGGCAATAGTGTGATCACGGCTCACTGTGGCCTCAAACTCCCAGGTTTAAGCCATCCTCCCACCTCAGCCTTCTAAAGTAGCTGGGACTACAGATGTATGCCACCATACCCAATTAATTTTTTTGTAGAGACAGGATTTCACCATGGCTGCCTAGCTGGTCTCAAATTCCTGGGCTTAAGTGATCTGCCTGCCTCAGCCTCCCAAAGTGTTGAGATTACAGACGTGAGCCACTGCACCGGCCTTTTTATAATTTTAATAATAATCTGTCAAATAATCTTTTATTACTTTTGCTTTCTAAATTCTTGTTATATTTTGCTAAACAATGCTTAATCTATCTGATAAACCATTTTAGTAGAAGGGTGTCTGATAAGCACCATCCCTCCCACCCTGCTTTTCTTTTTCTTTTCTCAAAGTTACAAGGTCTCCCTCTGTTGCCCAAGCTGGAGTGCAGTCCTGTGATTATAGCTCACTGCAGCCTCAGCCTCCTGGACTCAAGAAATCCTCCTACCTCAACCTCTCTAGTAGCTGGGGTCATAAGCATGCACCATGTTGCCCAGCTAATTTTTATTTTTTAAGTAAAGACAAGGTCTCATTATGTTGCCCAGGCTGGTTTCAAACTCCTAGTGTCACTTAATTTCTGTTTTGGCATTGGCTCTGAAAGAACTGTTGAGACAGTACTTGGAACTCGATATTTTCCAAAATCTGTTTTACCAAGATAAATTTTAAGGAGGGCCACAGAAAATAAAGTTCAAGTGTGGAGTCTTTTTGTTTGTTTGTTTTTTGGGTTTTTGGGTTTTTTTTTTTTAGACAGAGGTTTGCTCTTGTCGCCCAGGCTGGAGTGCAATGATGCCATCTTGGCTCACTGCAATCTCTGCCTCCTGGGCTCAGGAGATTCTCCTGTCTCAGCCTCCCGAGTAGCTGGGATTACAGGTGCCCACCACCACACCCAGCTAATTTTTGTATTTTTAGTAGAGATGAAGTTTCACCATCTTGGCCAGGCTGGTCTCAAATTCCTGACCTCAGGTGATCCATCTGCCGTGGCCTCCCAAAGCCATGGGATTACAGGCATGAGCCACAGTGCCCAGCCCAAATGTGTTTTTTAGTCAATATTATTTAATAATGAATTGAATTAAGAGACGTTGTTTTACTCAAAAGAAAGTTGATTTGGTTTTTTTTAAATAGCTTCTCTTGTTTTAAATAATTAAGGTTTAAAAAAAATCTCTAACAGTTCTCTTTCAGATATTTGGATTCTATAAAAACGAGACTCTTCATTCCTTAACCAAATGATAATTCCTTAAATTACATTCTTTGATTCAATTATAGTGAATTTCCTGGTAGAAATTTTATTTTCTCTGAAGCAGAATCAGTTGTCTTCATATCAGCATGTCAACCGGAAGAGAAGGAAATCTAATATGCATAATAAAGAGAGAACACCAACACATGACGCCTTTAAAAGTCTCTGAAATTCAATATATGACTTTTTATACCAGAAAGTGAACAAAATTTTAATCTTTTCCTCTTCATCTATGTCTCATGATGTGTTGGTGTGATTTTAAAGAACATTTTGGGGTTGTGAGTTCTATATAAATGTGACCATGTCATCTGTATAATCTTGCCATCCTTTCTTTGGAAAACATAGGTCACGTTAGCCTGTGTCATGGATGTTGATGTGGAGTCTGACTAAGCTAGTGGGCGAGAGGGTGTGTGTAGATGTGGGCGCGTGTGTGTATTTGTTCATTTCTAATGGAGCCATTCTTCTAGAGTCTTTGGGTCAGCTGTCACGTTGGGCTTTCCTCCTTTGTACTTTTGAATTGCTCTATGACTAGCAACAGACCCGAAACTAAAAAGGAAGGCTTTTAATGGATTAGTTCAGTCCTTTCCTTCGCCTACATTGTAGCAGCTGTGTTCTGCCCTTTCTGTGGCCCTGCAAGGAAAGGATGCCTGTACATAGCAGTCTTCTGTCAACATCCATTATAAGATTCCTAAAGCCCATAGAATGAGATATTTCCTAGGAAAACTCTTTGTCAATGCCAGCCCACATGGGAAAAGTATTTCTGTGTTTAGTCTTGTAACTATGACTGTTTCTGTTGTACGGGGTCAGGAGAAATTTAACTTACAAGACAGTGCTGTGCTATGCCTCTATACTTAACTGCCCTTTCTTTCTGAACTCTTTTGTAGGCAGCAGTACCTGTCCAAAGATCGCTTTAGCTCCACCTTGTTTCATAAGCAACACAACCACACTGGTTGATGAGAATGTATCTAAAGAAGAGGCTCAGGGAATAAATGGGAACAGGCCAGCAAAACACTCAGCTGCAAGTCCAAAGCCACAAGGTATGCTCATTGGGGAATTGTGATTGGGGTGGGTACTTTGTTCATCAAACAAGGCTAACTATCAAGATGATGGCCACAAAGAAAGCATTTTAAGCTAGAAGTGAGGAACTGGGTACATTATTTTTTAGAGAAGAGGCTATCTCTATGCATTTTCTCAGGTAGAGGTTGCTATTTGCTCTGCTCCTGAAACAACATACATTTCTCTATTACGGATCTTTTCATGTTGCTGAAATTTTTTGCATGTCATCTTAATGGAACTGTGATCTCTTTATTATGCTTGACCTAACACAGGGACTTATTGTCTGTGTAATAAATGTGTTTGGAGCACTGTTAGACAGAAATGATTTTCTAGATGTCAGTATTTGTGAAAGAGATAATTCTAAAACAGCACTTCATGTACTTATCAAGAACGTGATTTGATAATATTAAGGAAGTGGGACTTGAAAATACCTCATAGTAAGGTCATCCGCAGAAAGGAGCAGTAACAGCTCTCCATTCAGGATTGAGTGGCCAGCGAGGGGAAAGAAAAAGCCGTGATGGTAGAAAGTTTGAATGATTTTTTCAGTGACTGTTTCCTTTTACAAAGAAATTTCCAGTGAACTGAGTATTAACTTTGAGAAGCACAAAATTATAGTTTCGATGATAAAGAGCGAGGCCTTTTGAAATGGAACACAAAAGCTAGGCTACACTACGGTTTAATGTGTAGTTTCTTCCTTGTAGATTTTCATTGATAATGAATGCTAAACAGATATGAGAAACAATACTGGGCATTGTCAGAATTACTACACTTGGGAAAAATCAATATCTGTTTTTGTTTATTTCGTGTTTACTTAGGTCTCCTGTTCTTGCAAAGAAAAATTTATTCTAAAAAAAAATGTATTCTAGAGCATGCATTATAAAATAAGTGGTGTTATTCCTTAAAGTTGTATGTTTTAAGGATTTCTGAAAGAAAATTTTAGAATGAGTTTGAAATGAATCTTCTGGATTATGGGATATTTGTCTGCTTGTTCTCACAATTATATTTGTGGTGGTATGGAATATCGCTATCAAGCAAGGTCAGATAATTGACGATTCAGATGAGTAGCCTATTCACGAGCTTATAACCATTTCTTTTGACTGCACTGCTCCCTTATAGCATTGACATGAATATAAACATAGGAAATTTTTTTTGGCCATGATTTGAGCCTTTTGTGTTTCCAAAATGTAAAATTCCATCTTTCCTATTAGACCCAAGTTGACAAAGATCCAGTGTGAGGTAAGAATATTAATAATGAATACAATTCTAGTTTCTGAATTTTCCTGATCAAAGGAAGAATTTCATTATTTAAAAAGCCTTTATTTTTGGAAGATGCACTACATTACCTCATTGTTTTCCAGAGTCATTGTATTGAGAGAAATAGAGTGTCCTTCCTAAGCTGCGTGTGCCAAAATAATCCCATTTTTAAGCAGACAACACTTAACCTTGTTTTTTTGTAGTTGTATTAAAGCCAGCGTATTGTTATTTAAATACATACTTACTTCCTATCTTAAATATGGGCTAATTATGTTTATATACTTTTCTAACTAAAGGGAATATTTGCAGATATTAAATAAATCACAGAGTACTTTATACTTCTTTTTCAAAATACTTGCAAGTAGTGTTTGGCCCTTCCCTGATACCCATGGCTAACGTTTTAACTCTACCTTTCATCCTGCCATTTTGTATTTCCCTATGTTATAGTCTGTTCAGGTTGTTGAACAAAATACCATGAGCTGTGTAGCTTATAAATAACAGAAATTTATTTCTTACAGTTCTGTGGTCTGAAAGTCCAATATCAGATTCAGGGTCTGATAAGGCCTGCTTTCTGGTCTATAGATAGGTCCAAGATCAGATTCAGGGTATAATGAGGGCCTGCTTTCTCATAGATGGCCATCTTTTCGCTATAACCTCGCAGGCTGGAAAGGGTGAGGGGTCTTTCTGGGACCTTTTTTCAATGGCACTAATTTGATTAATGAGAGCTCAGTCCTTATGACCTAAACACCTCCCAAAGGCCCTACCTCTTTATGCTGTCACCTTGGGAATGAGGATGTCAACATGAATTTTGGGATGCAAACAAACATTCAGATCATAGCACTCCATAGGAACTTTATTTTTTCTCATTCATTACAACTTGACCTGCTGTATATTTTACTCATCAACTCAGTTTTTTCTGCCTATGTGTCCCCTCACAGAGTACATAACCAGTCTTCAATAATACTGCTATATGGCTACATTTCTTCCCCTTTGTTTCTGCTATTCTTTAAAACTTTAAACATGTGCCATGCAGGGACCAATGCCCCTAAAATGAGGCTACATCTTAGTATTGTCAGATGAGCTGCCACATAGATTGGTCAATAAGTCATCAGTAATACCCAAGAATGAGTGTTCCCTAATTCTTTTTTTTTTTTTTTTTTTGAGACGGAGTTTCGCCCTTGTTACCCAGGCTGGAGTGCAATGGCGCGATCTCGGCTCACCGCAACCTCCGCCTCCTGGGTTCAGGCAATTCTCCTGCCTCAGCCTCCTGAGTAGCTGGGATTACAGGCACGTGCCACCATGCCCAGCTAATTTTTTGTATTTTTAGTAGAGACGGGGTTTCACCATGTTGACCAGGATGGTCTCGATCTCTTGACCTTGTGATCCACCTGCCTCGGCCTCCCAAAGTGCTGGGATTACAGGCTTGAGCCACCGCGCCCGGCCCGTGTTCCCTAATTCTTTAGTGGAGAGAAGCTAATTTTAATTTCTCCTAACATTTGGGTGACTGAGGCAGAGAAGAGAAGTGGGTGCTAATAGGGACCTACTGCATGAAGCAAGGAATTATCACACTGACACCTTTGTTCCTGCCTTGCTGCAAATCCCTTATAAGTTGTGAATGGTGAGGTTGCTGCAACTTCAAGGTCACTATGTTTGGAGTCCTGATAAGGGAAGGGGAGTCAGGCTGGCATGGCAGGAGCAGAGGAAAGCAGAAAGAAAAAGTATATAAACTGTTAAGTCCACCTTTCTTCCTGGTCCAGGGCCCATAGCAGATAACTTACAATCTTCCTGCACTGACTTATCACCAGACCCTGTGACTAATAGAAAAATGCAAGTTAGCTCACTGCAACCTTGGTGTTAATCAGTACTGCATGTAGCCCTCTCTAGCACAAGCACTATCCTGTAAAATCCCCAGGAAGCCTTTGTCTCTTTGTAGTCAGCTCCTCTCTTGGTGATCTGTCTGTTGCTTTCTTGCAGTGTATTTTCATACTTTGTCTAATAAGTACGCCTTTCTGTGCCTACAACTGTCTTGGTAAATTCCTTTACTGCCCACGCCACCAGCCCTGGATATTGCTACCCACAACACTGTGTTGTTTTAGTTTAATTTAGGACTCTTACTCTAGATGAGTAATTTTCAAGCATGCACTTTTGCCCACATATGCATATCCTCCCCCGACAATAGGACATTGGTGGTATCTGGGGACATTTCTGCTTTACACTGCTTGTGGGAATTGCTACTTGCAGCTAGTGAGTGGTGCATAGGGATGTTGCTCTGCATTCTGCAATGCACAGGACAGTCCACAATGAAGAATTCATACAAACTGTAGTATCAGTTGCTGCATTTGCAAAACTCTGACCTAGATTAAAATAAGCACATATCTTTTATTTCATTATGTAGATTGCTAAGATTATAGTTACAATTTATTGTGTGTGTGTGTTTTTTTTTCTGAGATGGGGTTTTATTCTGTCACCCAGGCTGCAATGCAGTGGTGCGAACTCAGCTCACTGCAGCCTCTGCCTCCCAGATTTAAGTGATTCTCTTGTCTCAGCCTCCATAGTAGCAGGACTACAGGCATGCACCACCGCGCCCAGCTAATTTTTGTATTATTTTTTCGGTAGAGACGGGGTTTTACCATGTTGGCCAGACTGGTCTTGAACTCCTGATCTCAGGTGATCCACCTGCCTGGGCCTCCCAAAGTGCTGGGATTACACGCACGAGCCACCACCCTCAGCCTATTGTGGTAATTTTCAAAGGGGAAAGTATTGCACATCTTTATTAGTGGTGATTATGTAGTAATGTCTCTGGAACAATGTGTGGTTTATGTTTTGTGTTTATTAATCACCAGTAAGTAAAGACTTTTGAAGAATTATTTATAGGTTTTTAAAAGGTGAATCAACTAAGTTTCATTTTATTTTATTTTATTTTATTTTTTGAGACGAAGTTTTGCTCTTGTTACCCAGGCTGGAGTGCAATGGCGCGATCTCGGCTCACCGCAACCTCCGCCTCCTGGGTTCAGGCAATTCTCCTGCCTCAGCCTCCTGAGTAGCTGGGATTACAGGCACGTGCCACCATGCCCAGCTAATTTTTTGTAGTTTTAGTAGAGACGGGGTTTCACCATGTTGACCAGGATGGTCTCGATCTCTTGACCTTGTGATCCACCCGCCTCGGCCTCCCAAAGTGCTGGGATTACAGGCATGAGCCACCGCGCCCGGCTCATTTTATTTTTAAACCTGAAAATGGAATGACCAGAATACCAGCCCTTTGCATAGTGTTTCAAAATCAACAGAAAGAAAGATAAATTTTAGAGACTGGATAAACTTGGATTTGGATATAAATTGGAACATGTATATTTCGAAATGGATTTGTTTCATAATTAGAGCTTGTTTTGCCTCAGCCTCAGAAAATACCCTAAGGCCTTGGAAAACAATGGGTTATTCACTTCATACCAATCCTAATAGTCAAACAAATTACTGAGCAACCTCCAACGTAAGTCTTTCTTCTTGTTCACCACTTTTAATACTGGCCTGTTTCCTGCCATGCTAGTCAGTAACTCAAAATAGCTCCTTTAGTAATTAAAGCTAATAGTTTTCTCTTAACAGCTTTTATCCAGAACATTCTCCAAAGTTTCTGATTATTTTGATAACATGCAAATTGTCACATAATGTCTCAATCATTACATGCTTTAAAGAACCACATTGTTTTTTGAGTAACTTACATAAATATAGAGTA